TCTCCACCCTCCTATCAGTTTGAAGTGTGTCTCAGAGCTTTAGGTTGATACATTTTGCTTCAAGGGCAGTTATAAGATTATGTTGGAGCAATGGTGTGAGGAGATATGAGGGATGCATATTAATTTGGCTTGGGGGAACTGCCAGGAGGGACGAATCTTATTTGGGTTTTTGTAAGGACTTTAGTTGTCCATTTTAGTTTTTCCTGACAAGTGATGGATTTGAGTTCTATTGCAATCTTTACATTTGGACTCTTGGCAATCTGTGCTCATGTAATTTGCCTCAGAAAAAGAAATGGAAATAAAAAACTGCAGATCTTAATATAGAATACTGAAACGTTGCCAGATGAAAATGAAGTGAGTGTTGTGACATGACTGCTTTAAGCTACATGCGATTTAAATTTCAAAAACAGTGTCATAGGCTATTTCTACCATTGCATAATACTGTAGTTGCTAACAAAGGGCTGCACCAAACAGAGTTCACTAACCCCTGTACAATACCAAAAACATTATTACTCTCATAATAGTTTATTAAATATGATATTTTATTCATATTCTATCCTTTTATCCTTTTTTTTCTCTCCCTTTTTTGGTAGTATTATTAGATGTGATGGTATTTACTCAAGTAGTGTGTAGGAGTGTTGTCAGTTAAAAGACAACGACATGGTTTGCCTGTTAAAATTAGTGTGTGTGCAACACTGCTCCCAGATTCCAATTATATATGTGTAGCATCATAGATATGGTTTGCTTGGGCCAGATTGCAGTTGTGGGTGCTGCAGAAATGTCATCAGAGCAGGATATTGTGTAAATGAATCCCAACACTGACACCACTAGTCTTTGTTTACACTGCCACCTTGAATCTCTGTAGTTGTCTTCATAGTAGACAATCTTAGTTTTTACAAAACTTAAAAAATGTCTATTGGTGCACGCTCAATACTGACAGAGCAGCACAGCTTTTGTTTTGGCAGTTTACTAATTCTGTCCAATAGGTAGTGATAGACATTTGTTTTTGTTGATGTTTTTATATCCAAATGCCATGTTAATTGTGAAGGTTTAAGACTTTATCCTCAATGGTTTGTTTTCCAGTTTTGTTTCTCCTTAAGAGTGAGAGAGTTTCAGTTTGACAAGGTTAGTTAGAAGAAGTGATAGATGGAGGTTTAAGATCAGCACAAAGTCATGATTCAAGGTTTAACAATTTACAACAGGAACATGCTGCTCCGTGCTCTATTATTGATGGGTGTTAATCCCTTAAAAACATGAATATATTTCTTTGTGTTATGTAACATCAAACAAAAGGATAACAGTTATGAAAGAGAGATGTTTTTTGAAGTGTAGTCCTGCTGCTTGAAAGACTCTCAAACTGCATACAAAAAAACCTGAATGCAGTGAACCTGATGATTCATAGTGGCAGTTTAGGCTTTCAGGGACAGTACGTCAGGAAGCACACAATGTCTGCTGTCCTCTTCATCTGAGATCTGAGCATCACTTATCAGTGACTGACTTTTACTGCTGACTGATTCCCATTGAAATGATGCAGTCCCCTAACATTTGTCTCTCTCTCTCTCTGCACCATAATCGTCATGCTACAATAACTGGCTGAACCGAGTGAGCACAGACTGAAAAACGAAGCCCCACACTCAATTGACCTCTGATGTTAATTTAATGGAAACTAGTAAAGCATAACACACTGTTATTGTGCCTTTTTATCACTGTTGCACATATACATATGAAGTGTATTCTCACTTTTAGTCTTATTTTAGGATGTGTACTTTGAGTTTGTATTTTTCCTACATGTACCCTCCCCCTTGCCCAGTGCCCAACAAAGTCTCCATCCCACCTCAGCTCACTAGGAGTGTGTAACATGTCCCTCTAATCTTGTTGGTCAAAAATGGCACCGGGTGTTATCTCCTTTCTCCAGCAGGGAGCGGTGTTCTGTTTTCTCCACCTCACCTCATTCCTGTAGAGAGAGACAAAAGCCTAAACCTCAACACTGTTGTTTTTTCTGTTAATGTATCTTTGTTTGTCTTTTAGATGTGTTTGGGTTTTTTGTATTGTTTTTCTCTTGCTTAGAGAATGGGAAGTTACACGTCACAAACCTAAAATATACTACTTAACTGCTCCCTAAATGGAGCTGTTCTGATCTCAGGTTCCACTGACAAAGCATCCCTAAAGGCTCTTCAGATGAGGCCAAGGATTCATGTTACAAAACATAAGAAGTAAACTATACTGAAAAGCATGTCTGCTCTGGTGTCTGCTTCTTCACGTATCTGCAATCACACTAAATGCTGACTTGGTTCATACATGTACTTAATTCACTGGTGTCAGTGACAGTTGCAGTAGAATTTAGCACTGCAACAGTTCTAGAATAGAGAGTTAGTCTGGTCGTGAACTGTGTGATTATCAACCCAGTGCTGCACACTGTCCTAACTGGTAAAATTATCCTGGTTAGAATAAATATCTACGACCAGACTATTTAATCAATTTACCGTGGCAACTATTAGAAATGTCACCAGCGGAGAGAGCTGAGTGGTTGGAGGAAATTTTAAAAACACAAAGAACACATGGTTACTTAATTCAAGAAACTAAAGTATTAAATAGAGGCTAGTTTATTAAGTATGTCAAGCTAAATGATAATAAATCCTCCCTTCATGAAGATCATTATGTTCAATGCTTTTTGTTTCAAGAGAAGTGTTGATTCAAACTGGTCATTTTGGAGGATGTGGTTTTGAATTGTATTGTGTTCAAGGGTTTGTTGAATCAACACATACTCTAATCATTTCATTGACTTTATTCTCATCCCTTTTCAATTCTGACCACTGATATCAAATAGCAAACAGGATCACTTGCTTTCTCGTGAAAATCGGTGCACAGCAAGTCACACCTTTATCAATGCATGAGGCCATACAATAAACACAAGTGCCGCTGCCAGACTAGCAGCGTCCGTTGGACGTAAGTGGCTTCATGCAAGCTGAAGATCACCAGAAATATCCAGCGGACCTAATATGTTGATTCATTTTATATCAAACCCAGTACTAGCCTACATCTCATTAAATAAAGAATATCATTGTGTGATAATCCTCAGATTATTACAGAAACACCTGTAATGCCATTCTCTATTGTTCATGAATATTCCGTTGCTGTGTAACGTTTTAATGAGTCCATTAGGGAGGTCAAATGTTCAGATCAGGAACAACAGGTTAGAGCTTTGAGGAACTATAGTCCCAGGATATTTGATTTGTTTATACTGAGGTGGCCTGGTGTAATGTTAATGATCATGTTTATTTGACTATTGTACACTAATTACACATTTCAGACCACAATCAATGGAGTTAAGAAACTTCAAACACTGTACTTAACTATGGAGTGTCTAGTCATCTAGTCTATTGAACCAGTTTAGGTCATAATGAAGTCACGTTTGTGTCTGTATCTGGACTTTGATGGCTTCATTGTGAAGTTATGGTGATTTTTGTTATTCCTCCTTCTCAAGTGCCTTCCACCTGCTCTGTTCCAACTGGACAAGCTTCAGCAGTTCTCCCATCACTTTGCAGATTCATTCATAAACGGAGCCCTGTGATTTGACATTGGGGCAAATGTCTCTGTGTATGTCTGCAAACAAGGTGGACAGGACAGATTGACTGTAGAGCCAAACAGCTGTAGCACCTGACGTTATAGTGATATAACATTCAATTAAATTTAGTCCACTGTTGCTGAAGCTTTGGGACGTAAAGCAATTTGACTTTGGTGCTTGCATTCCAGGGTGGGAAGGGTAATGATAACCTCACCTTTAGGAATGTTTGTGCCCATGCTGTGAAAAAGGCTGTTTCAGCAGGCTGACACACCTCTTTGATTTGGGAGGTGTCAGGGAGGCTTTTTAAGATCTATTTAACTTTATACAGATGCCTAAGACAGGTTTATGAGCAGAAAAGATCACTGCATCTCTGACCCTGAGACACAGACCTGAGACATGCACTGCGATGGCAACATAACTGCCTGAGCTGTGGCATCATCCTGGACTGTGGCACACGGTCCATCACATGAAGATGCAGACCTCCTATGGGTGCCACATGGAACTCTCCTCTTCAGGATGGCCTCAGCCAGAGTAGCCTGGTTCCTCCAGGAGATACCAGCTGTAAAACCTCCCACTACTACCTCTCACAGACCCTCTATGAAGGGAGAGCACCTGCTGCTTGGGACCCTTTGCATGCATAACTTTCAAAGGTATAAACAGAGGTAAGCCTTGGATTGGGTCGGTTTGATGTGTATTGTGAAAAGTAATGTGAAACTGTACTTTAAATATATTCATTCAAAATATAAGAGAATATGTTGTCTCACTGGTTTGATACGGTTTATAGTTTTTAATATATTTACAAACTTCTTGTTTTGTATTGCCTTTTACCATCATACTCTACTTTTCTCACAATTATTATTTAGTTATAAATGTCTCAAATGTACGAACCTGCAGGTACTCAATGAATTAATCTATTCATCATGGATCTAGCATTCATATAAGATGATTTACCTCCAAATTTTGTTTAAAATAGTGTCATAGTTCATGACACTACATGTTTTTTAATTCAAACCCATATTCTGTATGTATTACATTAATGAGTATAGCCCATCATTTACTATTTTTTTATATTACTATTTCATAACAGCAAATGACAAATTGTGTTCTATCTGTTATCACTTTGTCAGTGTTCCTACATAGTGACTAGATCTACTGAGAAAATGATATATCCTGCTGTTTTAACCTGAAGGATAAAACACTGTGAGCAATCCATTGGCCACTCATAGGGAGTGGGGCTAAATAACATCTTTTTTTTTGCCTGTGTTAAATACGAAATAATTTATTCTAGAATCCCTCCATGTGGTTGTAAAACATTGTATTTGCATGTATTGTACCATTCATCTTGAGCAATACTATTGTATTGTCAAGTAAAAAGTTGTCTTTTTATACAAACTGCTACGGAAGAAACCTGCAGGAAGATAGAATAGAACTGATAGAATATCTCTGTGGACATGGGCAAAGACTTTGTGTAAAGAAATAAAAGTTTATTTTATCCAAATACTAAATATCAATATACGAAAAATATCACATCTTGCAGTGATTGTTACCTAGATCAGAGTTCAGTGGATTAAGCCTGTCTACAACGTAAAAAGCTGTGTACAGTAAGATGTTCTGGGGGAATGTTTGTTAGCTTCAGGGTTCGTCTTTGTATTTTTATATATACATGTCAGTTGGTGACTCAATTTCACCTATGAGCAGCTTGAGACTGGTAATATTTTAAAATGTTTTAGGGGAGAAAGGGGTGGGATATACCTTCAGAAAATGCTGGTGGTGTTTCTTGGTGTGGTGTTGGTAGCAAAAGGTTGCAGCGCCCCCTTGTGCTGACCAAAGGTAGCTACAGCTGAGACATGCTGATTTACAAAAGCAATAGTTGTGTTGGTAAATTGTTTCATAGATGCTGAATTATTTTGATTAATTAAATCATACAACTCTATCGCACATAATTTAAAGGTGGTTTTAAGTCCTTGAAGGTGAGCTTGTCAATCAAAAATGTCACTTTCATCTTCACAAACTAGAATCTAGCATGAGACAAAAATACTTATTCTACTAGTTCACATCCTTAATTATGTATCTCACATCTAGGGCGAGATTAGCAGTTTCTACAGCAACTTGCAATGCGTTGAGTTTAGCGGTGAAGGAGTCCAGCACACGTGTCTGCACAGGAGAATCTGTAGCGAGGGCTGCGGGTGAGAACTCAGCATATTTTGTGTTTAGATAAGTCCACTTCTTATTTGAGCTTCCTTCCACCAGTCCACAGCCGCAGAAGCCCAAGCTATCCTCTACGCATCCGTTCATCACATCTGCAGGCAGGGTCCAGTGGTGAGCATGAGTCAGATCAATTAAAGAATTCCCACCATTGTGCTCCAGTGATTTGGCCACAGACTCCATAGAGCTGCAGAATCCGTCCATGCTGAGAAGGTACTCTGACTGTGAGCACCCTAATACTGCAGCAGACTCTGTTGCTTTGTTTGTGCTCTGGGACGAAAATAGAAAATAGTCAATTTTTAAGTAATCGCTGTAACAATAAGTGAAACAATACGTCTGTGGATCTCACCTTGTGTCTGACGTAAGCAGCCAAGTGCGTCTCAGTGCACCCACCTCCAAGTAAGGCATACGGCTCCCTGAGGGTGAGCCTCAACACATGTTCTGTCTTCTGGCACACTACCTTAAACAGATGCACAGACATTAAGATGTCAGTTCATCTGTCACATTTGCCCCATAAATGGATATTTCAAGCTGATGTCTGTGTCTGCAAACAAATTGAATGCCTTTTAAAATAAGTTTAAACTTACTTGATGCCAGATGATTGATGCTTTTATCACAAGTATAAGTAGAAAAAAAAGTGTATCTCTCCCCAAGAAACTCTTTACAAATTGTTTTATGGGGCCATATGCTGTATTATTGATTACATGTTTGCTTTATATGGTGGTGATTAAACTGAACACTCCTCACTTTATCTTACCTTCAGCTCGCTTAGCATGGTCTCGTTCCTTTGGCAGAGGACCATCGTGCAGATTGCAGACTCCCCGGGTGCGTGTAAATGCAGCATAGTCTTGGATCCAAACTGCCTTATACTGAGATCCCTCACCTTCCCGTAGGCCTTGGCTGGGAGTGTGGTGTGTAATGTGGCCACAGGCTGAGCACCTTTTTGTTAGAAAAGATATTAAACAGGATATCAGTTACAGAGCAAAGTAATTATGAGTACAGAGTATGTTCGAAGTGGACAATGGATTATTACCTCAATGGAGGTTTGCACCCCTGTCCGTTTGTTTGTTGAATGGATTACCACAGAACATGATTTGATTCAGTGGTTGAATTTTTTTTACCTTCTATAACATTGTGAGATAGGATGTTTTTCTCAATTTTCCCAGAGAATAATTCATGAAACTTGATGGAAAAAATCAGGAACATTCAGGGAAGTGAGATTTATGAGTGTGTGAAAAGTGGTGTTGTTGTTTGGGTTTTATATTAATATAACATATGTGCGCTGTGCATAATATTACTTGTAGTGTAATGACATTTGACAGCATTGAAATATCTCTGTGGGAAATTGTCTGTATAATACAGATCTGCAGTGATAAATCTGCCAACACGCCCATGCCTGTACTTAAAGTCTACCTGTAAGCAGAGTGAGCGGTTCCATGAGAGTGATTCCCAATCTCTCGATCACAATGACACCTTGACTCCTCAGGTATTGCTGTAGGACTGGGTGGATGACCTTCTGACAGACAAAGAGCTTGACGTCATCTTTAACTGCCTGCTTGCCAAGATCCAGGAGTTGATCCAAGATCTGTGCGTCTGTGTCTACACCCCAGGACATTTCGATGATCCCACCTCCGAGTTCAGGAATGTCTCCAGCAAGGGATGCGCTGAACAACACCATGCACAGTGGATGTGAAGTCAGGTTCTCTGCCTTGTTGATGCATGGGGCACCAGTGACATCCACCAGCAAACCTGGAAACACTGCAGAGTTGAGCACAGAGTGGCCCTCAACAGAGATGGTCACTGTCTGACCCAGAGAGACTGCACCTGGTTTGTCACAGGGAACAGTCAGTAGAAAAGCCTGCACAGCCAGCTTGCTGATGTGAAGCGTCTCTTGCTCTGTGAGCAAACATGCTGGTTTGCTGGAGATAACACTGCGAGCTAAAGTGATCAGGTTGTGGCTGCTGCAGAAGTCGAGCTTCACTTTACAGCAGCAGTCCTCTCTCTGCAGGTAACTGACACACACATCCAGGAAGTGCCTGTTCAGTCTGATACACACGTTTCCTCTGAGGCCACTTTGCTTTGCTTGTTCGATTAGAGCCAAACACAGAGTGGCAGCGAACAAACCGCAGTCACTGAACCGGGACACGTGGTTGAGGATGGAGGTTTTGATGAGGTCAACAAGAGGCTGTGAGGATGAAACGGCTGCGAGGAGAAGTGATGAGGTCGAGGTGGTGACAACGTGTCCTCCGATGTTGTTGTGAACGAGTTTCAGTTTACCAGTCGGACCAAAACAAGACGTCAGGAGCTGCCTCAGTAAGTGAAGCTTGTTACGAACGTCACTGTGGTCCAGCGGCAGATCCACACACAGAGACGGAGATTTCTTGACAAGTCGGGACATCACTTCACGAGGCAAAGACTCAGGTCCACACTTTGGACATTTAAAGACGCTTTAGTGTCTTGTTACTCAAACACAACGGTGTGGTTTAAGACTGGGTTTTTAAGTTGGACTTAAAAAAGACTACATCCAGTTCTTCCATCTTAAGCGCATCTGCTGGTCAAGACTCTCATTAGGACTCAAAGCGTTGCCTGATCAAAACGACAACTTTTTCTGCATACGTACTTTATCTAATATATTAAAACGAACCAAATTACTGTTTTATTTCAAGTTATACTGAATATGTTTTAGTGAGAGTTATACTTTATTACAGTTTCGAAGCATTTAATTTCAAATTTTAACCAAGGCATTGTAACGGCTACCCCACGTTTCCATGGTAACAGTTAGAGCGTGCGGGTCCTAGTGGGGTCCTGTTTCGTTCAGAGTCGCATTCTCTCGCTTGTCTTTGCAAATTGTTTCTATTAAAACAGAAAACCGCTTCGTAATCATGTGACTCGAGTTCCACGCTTTAAAGTAGATAAAGAAAATAGCTCGGACTCCATCTTTCCTTTTTTAACAGACGTTTTTTATTCTACAGACTCGGACTGACTCTGCTGTTGGACTACAGACGGAATGTGACGTCATATCCTGCCGCCCTTCTCGCTCGACAAACATTCAAACTGTTGGCGGTACGTCTGTTGTCACGTCTGCTGGTTTTACTGTATTTACACATTATATCTGTTTGTTGCGTATTTACGGTGCAGTTAACACGTCGCTGGCTGGTTATGATTTGACAGATCCCCCTGGTGTGTTTCTTAGCAGTCATCTTTCTTCTTGCGAGCTGTTAAGATGATCCAACTATTCGATACCAGATTTTAGTTCGATGCCTTTCAGCTGATATTGAGCTCTAGCCACTCTTCCTCATGTCCACAAAAAACATTTAAAAACATGGCGTAAAAGATTATTGAAGCCTCAGGTTGCAGCAACCAGATAAACTCTAATTATTGTAAAATGTCATAACTTAAATCTCATGTGAAGAGGTCACGTTAACGTATCGGTTCATCTGCACAACCAGATTATAAAAGTATGCAACCACCTGTAATCTATGACTGTACATGTTTCAGGTAAAACTGGCTGAGTGCTGGGTTCAATGCAATGGCTCCTCACAAATTTGTCATTAAGGTAAGTGAAAACGAAGTATACAGTATAAAGTTTTGCAGCGCAAAAGAAAAGCAGACGGGCACACAAAGAGAGATCTCTGGAATTATTAGTAGAATGTTTTCATTTGTTTGAATTATAGTATTATAATGTATTATAAAGTACCTTTGTTAACATCTACAACTTGGTACACATTCTGAGTTTATATTCTCTTTATGACTGTGTGTCCTGTTTGGCTTGGACACATTAAATAAAGTGAGATGATCTAATCACAAATAAATCTGCAAACAAAATGTGTAACCTAAAGTAAAAGCAGGGTTTCTGCAGGTTCTTACAAAGTCTTAAATACGTTTAATATATTACATACTGGGTCTTAGATATGTTCAGGTAGGTCTTAAATGTGTTAATGTTCATTTGATGCTTCATCATATTTTAAAATGAATCTTTTATGAAAACGTGAACTGATAATTGATAGTCTGCAATCTAGTCTACTGTCTTTAATTATGGGACTCTGATATTCCTTCATTTCTGTTGTATTTGACACATGTCTTAAATTTCATTCATTATGGTCTTAAATATAACATGTTGAAACATGCAAAACTCCTTTAAAATGTTTTCGTTGGAACACATGATATTCTTTAGTGTCTTGTGAACATGTACATATGACATGTTAGAAAAGATCTTGTTTCGAAGTAAATGAGTTTATGGGAGCTTCTCAGTGACCACAAAACCTCATAATTACTTTAGGCAAAATGTTTTCCCACATAGAATGCACACAAGATACTGATTAATAAAGAATAAGAGGAATCTGCATTTGATCAGGGCTTTTTAAACTTCTGTTGCCAGCATTCTTGATAACCACTATGTTTATTCTCCTTCCAAACAGTAGAACTGCTTCACACACTACTTCTTGGCTCAAGTTATCATGGTCTATCTTAAACCAATGAAAAGCGGTTGTGTATTTGGCAAAGATATGCAACACAGAAAATTGTGCTTACTTTTCTAACATTTACAATGTTCATATTTTGTTGCAACATAGTCTGCCTACATTAATTATTTTGTCCTCCTCAGTAGCAAATGTTTTTGGCCACTAGGGGGAGATACAGGTGCATGTGTCGCTTGTCTTGTGTTCACATTCTGATGTTGTTATTCATCCTTTAGAAGAGGTTTCTGGTCACCTTTTGCAAATCTAAACTGACTGCCTCCCTCACAGGCTTTTGTCAATGGATGCCGGCACAGAGCAGAGGAAACTCATTCTATTAAAAAGCCAAGCTGTTCATCCTGTGTCTGATGCTCTGTCAGGAATAATGTACATCAGATGTTTTTGTTAAGTGCAGGGAAAGCCGCTGGTCTCTCTTTTGTTGATGTTTCATTTATTCAGAGTTTCGGATGAGGGCTGCAGACATTCGCGCTGAGCTCTCACATCCTCCATAATGCCATGTGTGCCTAGTTGACCAGATATTGCATTCACTCCCTTTATTTGTTTCATATGCATGCCTGCATACAGGCCACCTCACGACCCCCCTCAGTTGGTTGTGGGAGAGTAAAACCCTTGAGGTTCACGGAAGGTTCCTTCCCACTGGGCACATAATGATACTGTTGTGTTACGCTGCCTGAGAAAATGCACACAGGCAGCCTCTACCATGCTTAACCAAGTTACCACAAACAATTACATTAGAAGGGATCAGTCTAAAGAACAGCATTTAAGGCACTACCAGAGGCTTCTCTTTTGCAAAACAAACACCACTGTCCCCCATGTTTTTAATGAATGAATCAACTTCTCAGAACATTAAAGAGCAGAAATCTGTACAGACACTGCATGTTGCAAATTATCTTTGCCATCTTGCACAGAGAATGAGGATTATTGAAGCAATTATGAGTTATGTTCTTGAATTATCCATGCCATCTCCAGTAGGATGTACAGCAGTATGTTTTACAATCCTTTCTCCTAAAATGTTTTCAAGGCAGCTCCTTCCCTGGTCTGTGGAACTGCAGGAGGGGCTGGTATGCTTCTTCTTAAGTAGGCTCAGACTATATAGTGACCTGCCACTTCACAGACCTCCTGAAAAGGGCCTCCAGGCTAAAATGCTGATCCACTGAAGCACTTGCTTTCTTCTAGGACATTGCTGTGGCAGAACCCTGCAATCTGCCTTCTATTAGCAATATGCACTGCTGACTTTCTAACCATCTAATGCAGTAGGCTGAGACAGAGACCAAAGTGTTTTTTAAGAATAGAAAGTTTGAGGTATCACAGAGAAGTTTAATGTCAGAGGTTTATGTGCTGTTCAGTGTTGTTGTCACACGGACCACACATCATGCTTCTGTACCAAATCATTGCAGTTTGAGTTTTGCCATTTTCCAACTTAGGGAATCTTTTACAAGAGAAGGTGACAGTGTTAAAAAAAAAAAAAGCCCCTTTCATCTCAACACTGCTCCATATTACCATACAGAATTCATATTTCCTAATGAGGCCAAATACTTCTCAGCCTGCTGTTTCGGTCTGCCTACCAGTTTCTCTAGGATGTGACGGCCGGAATTTTGTTTGCCCTGTGTTACCTGGAGATATTCCTGTCTATTCTTGCTGCTGGAATCCCACGCCTGGGTTGTGTCCCATTTTATCATCATATAAAGAGAACTCAGGTGTGTTAACCTTCACCTGAATGATGGGAGCTTTGCACACAAAATGCTTCCATGTACTCTGTAAATAACATTCGCCTCAGTAATAGTCACGTCTCAAGCTTCACTGCTCAGTATCTGGCAGGATAAAAAATTGGAACATAGAAATGTCTTTTTTTTTTTTTAAGGGGGAAACCCAGGTGACTCACAGCACAGAGAGCGCAGACAAATAAGGCCTGAGAGCAGGGTTGTCCCACCCACAGATCTAAAGAGCTCCCTTGGGTTCTTTGCAGACTTGCAGAAAAGAGAGAGAACGTCAGAAAAAGAGAGAGACAAAGGGAAAGTGGGAGAGAGGCAAGTTTTATTGAGTGAGACCGCATCAGCTGCCCCTTCTTTCCCAATGTAAACATCTGTGGCTGGTTAGTGTTAGCCTCTGAGCTAAGTGCAGTCCGAGAAGGTCTGGTTCTTATACGGCGCGATAGCAATGGCAAAGGGCAGCGAGGTGGGGAGGCGGGTGAAGCCGCTCATAGAGATTTGGGCCCCGTGCCCAACTTGGAGCAGCACAGACGGGAGGACGGAGAGCCGGGTCTTGGGGAAAGATAAGGGAAGGTAGAGAGTGTTTTGGGAACTGAGAGTGATATACACCAGAGCCCTGAAGACCAGAAAAGGGAAAGAAGACATCAGTGAGTCTGAGTCAGGGGTTGTTTATTTACAGACAGGAAATATGAAGTATATATAGAGGATTTTTTGCATGTTGTGTAGTGTGGACTTTGTGCAACTTTTGGCTCAAACATTTATTATGTTGTAGTCTTGGTTAACCCTTTGTTTCCTGCAGGCCACAGCTATCAGATTGGCAGTGTATGGGAGAATTAGGATAGAGAAGTTGAGCTTAGCCTGCAGGAAGACTTGGTTCTATTCATTCAGTGTGTGACAGCACACAAAGATGGCACAATAAAGGATTTGGTATTAAGTAGCGCTCCTTGCTGCCTCTCATTCAGGCTTCAGCCTCTGTTCATAACTCTAAAAGGCCTGTGCAAAACAGAGAACAAAGCAGTGGTGGCCCACTTTAGTATGCATGAAAAGAGTAACTTCCTCTAGAACTTGGCCCTTTATCAAACCTCTCTTTCCACCAACAGTGACAGTTGCTCTGAGTATCGCCTCAAATGTGTTCATGCAAAGTACAGCTTTAGTGAGTATACGGGATGTTTCATTTTCAGATTACATTACTCAAAGAAGTCCTTGTGGTCTGATTTACTACAACTAGAAAGTAGTAGGCTGCTTGCACAAATCTGACTAAAGATGGACTGCTGGGCTTTAAGGGGGGGTATGTGGAGGTCATAGTTCATGGCAGAGTTCAGCTTAGAGATCCACTGGTCACTCTTTGTGCTGCAAGTTGACAAATTTAGACCACATGATGTGATTGTAGGCTTTGTGTGAGATTCTGCTGCTTTTGTGTCTTATCTGCCACACACCACAAATGTTCTTTGTAAAAGCTCTGCTAGCTGCACATAAACAGCCTGGACTCACCGATTGACACTTAGTGGGAAATGTGTGTCTCCAGCAAACCACAAGTTCTCCTGGCCAAATTAATAGTTTTTCTCATTAGTGTGATTGCATTAGTTTGCATTCCTGACAAAATCCCCCGTATCACATGCTTTTTTTGTGTAAGGGGCAGACCAGTGTTTATCATTAATGTCCAGTTCCCAGTCGAGTCTTGTCCGCCGCTCTAATGTGATAAAAGGAAGTTAGTCTAAGGCTCGCTAGATGTCTGGCTTTCAGCCAAAAACACATTCAATCAAAAGCTCAGAAACCGCTTTAAGAGATGCAGCGCCCCTTCAAGAGGACCACTCTAAACCTTATACTGCCCCTTCTGTCCAAGTTATTGACTAATTCTGAGCTATATAGTGCCCTTTCAGGTACTTACACAGGTAGGGAGCAGAATATTAGAAACATCCCTCATTGTCCAATAACACACCAATAACAATTACACAACAATAACTATAAAACACCAATAATATACCATCATTCTCTATGACCTTAATAATCAGGACGTGAATGACCATTTCCCTGACACACTGTCAACAAAAATTGAACATTAAAAGTTAAGGAATAATTGCAGGGCCACTACACATAATTAAGTGGCATCTCATTCAACATTGTACAGTTCAGATCTTATACTTATCTGTAATGCCATTCTTCAAAACATTTCAGGTCAGGATACCAAAACACATCCAGCGTGTGTCAATTCCATCCCCAAGAAACCACAGTGGGGCTCGTCCTCTGGTTGGGTGCTGTTTGGATTGACAGGGTCTTGACCCTCCGTTGCTAGGCTCTCCCACACACTGGTAATTGTTGGGGGCAGTCAGCTCAGCCCACCAGTCATCCGTGGACTGACATGAGACAAAGGGCAGGGGATAGAGAGAGTACTGATCTATGGGGACACGCTGATTCTGACAGGCAGCATGCACACATTTCTGGTCCATCGCATTTTTTGCTTTGTATGTTTTTCTACATCAACTTCTCTTTTGTTTACAGTAATTCTTCTACGAAGTGCTCCTGTGTTTTTTACAGTGAATATTTTCCAAGTGGATATTTTTGTTGTTACCACATGTTAATGCTCTGACTTCTGTTCCCACATATTTCAGGATATAGAGGGATGAGTCAGAGGATCACAGATTAATGCACTGTGTTTTTAAGAGACTTAGAACAAATTAGTTTCCGATTAGTCTTGATGACACTGATGCAGAGACTTCAGTACAAGCTGGCACACATTTGGAGGTTAGCGCTTGACATATTCTGCAGAGCAAGGAGCAATTGAAATGTTCGCTGTTCAGTCATATGGTGGCGCCCTCTCCTCTATTTGACCTGCATGTCAACTTGAGGAGAAATAAGGAGCAGCTTCACTTCAATTAATATTTATTAAAACACAATGAAAAAAGAAAATCCTCTAGTTTGGAAAAATACTAAATATCATGCAGCTTGATTTGCTCTGAGCATGCATCTTTTTTTGATCTATTGATTGGATTTATGGATTATCAGGCAAGGGATCTAAAGGATAACATGCTAAACTGAATAACACTTATTTTCAACATGGCCCCAAGATCTTCAAAGACACACAAGACATTCAAAACTCAACAATATTATCCTAAAATCCAAAACACATCACCACAGTTTAAGAATAGAAATAATAAACTCCCACATCAAAACACAAGGACGGCTCAAGTAACAACGCCATTGCAGATTTCATTAAAATTCTGTTCCATGAAAAATCCTAATCTGTAACAGAAGGCTGATCCACAACTATCAGTATAAAAAAGGAGCTTCTGGCTGCAGTGCATATAAACACTGATAGATGTTTTTTTTCTATCACCTTCAGTCTGTTCCTAAATTTAGCTGTAAAACCACTGTACCAAGCAAATCGTGCGTAATAGAAATGGCAGGGTATCAGTGTTTTCCCTTTAAGGAGGAGTTAAGGTAAGTTATTCCAAAGATGAGGAGACAACTGGACAGAGTTTGGAGTTGGAAAGTGTGGACCTGTGTCCAGATTTAGGATTTAAGTAGCACAGGCCTTCTCCCACACACCCTGTTCATTCATTGACTCATGTCATCATGAGAGCGGGCCGTAGGAAGATCTCTCACGTCTGTGTTGTAGAATTTGGTCATTCTGTCTCAGCTCTGGGGACGAGCTCGGCTCAGTACAAAGCTCTTAGTGTGCATAAGTATTCCCTATTACGAAATGAATAACCTCTCCTCTGTTTGCGCATACTTTTTTCCAGTTCTACGGTCTGAGGCTGAAATATGCTTTTGTCTTTAGAAAATGATATTTTTGCTACCCCACTCATTTCAATGTTTTTTGCTTCATTATCACTTTAGGGCAGTACTTGTTGCTCCTCTGTGTCAAGTTGTGGGTGGTCTCAGTCCATCCATTACTGCCTTGTCCAGGCAGAGGCGAAGTTCACACGAGACCCACATCCATTTGCTCTGTGCAGCGGGCAGCTTTTGCACTCATGTGTAAACCATAATCAGGCTAGCCTGAGAGAGATGTAACAGCAACTTAACCAGCCGCGGCATTTCTGGCCTCCCCGTCCCTTATAGCTTATTGTCGTTGACACAATGACGTTGCGCTTCAGGAATCCACTCTGCAGCTACTCAGCTTGCTACGCCACTCAAAAAGTTGTAGTGCAGAAGTGTAGAAACATGGAGTGCTTTAGGGTAGTTTTACCACTTCCCTGGTACAAAGTAGCATAATCCTCATTTATGTGGAACATCTTTAGACTTTTTTTTATGTTGCTTATTGTGACCTGAGGCATTGCAAAGTGTATATATAGTGCGGGAACATACTTTTTACGCTGGGAGAGGAGAAATTTGAGGAGACAGACAGGACCATAGTATTTTGTAAAGAGATGGTAGCGAGATGGCTAGACAGAGAAACAGGAGGGAGGGGACTTGCTGTGAGAGGCCTGGGGTGATGTTTGAGGACATAGGGGGTCGTTGTGGTTTGTCTCGCTGTCAATCACCCACACTCTGATTTCCTTTGTTGTCCGTGAGCTTAATGCCACTCGGCAACCTGTGGCTGTCCTTCCTCTTTGTGTTACAGTGTGGGAATTTTGCTGTGCTGGTGGATCTCCACGTTCTGCCCCTGGGCGGCCAAGAGGACGCCAGCTGGTTTACTACGGACCACATTGAGGTACAGACACAGGGATAAGGGCGTGCGTGTGAATAAGTGTGTGACTGAATATATGGCTTCTGTTCTGCTGGGGGCCTTTTCAAAGGACAGCAGTAGCGTGGAATCTAAAATGACTTTAAGCTTTCTGTCTTTTCTTCTCAGGGGTTTTCATTGTCGCAAAACTGTTCCCATCTCTCCACCTAGCCAGTAGCCACCTGTGGAGTTAGTTGCCTTACAGGCCAAAAATTGGGACTCTTACTGTCCTGTTGTTTGCCTGCGCTCATCAATAATAATTTGTGAAATGAAATTACAAAAAAAACTTACTATACTGAAATATGTCCTGACTGTTTGTAGGAGGTTACAGCCCTGGTGCAAGATGCTGTGGACAACAGGGTTAAGCAGTACACAGAGTCCCTCCACAAGAGAAGACAACTCAAGCAAAAGAAGGAGCTGGCACCTGCTTCAGCCTTTTTTGTGAAAGGTACCACATCATCATGTGACCCTCATTACACTCCACCAAATATTCTTGGTATTTATCGTGAGATAATTTTTGAAATTACCATGATTCATCATTGTGTAGAATGTTTTTCCTTCTTTAATGTGTTGACTTTTACTCGAATCGTTAATTAAAATTTGCGTTTGATGACTATGAGTTCTATTTATTCTGTTTTGAATTTGTTGTTGCTCATTCCTCTGGAGTGAAGTCATTACTGTCTTCGCTTGTCTTGTCTTAGGTGTGTCTGTCATGAACTCTTTAATAAGTAAAATGATTTATTTTGGCTCAAAACCATTATTTATTCTTTTGAAAGTCAGTGCAGAGATGTGGCTGCGTGCATGGAGGTGGGTCATTGAGCCATGTGAGCAGGATGGGAATGAAATAACAAAGCAGTCTAAAAAATATTTCAAGGCTACCTTTTTGAGGAGAGTGTAGGTGGAGAACTAGTTGGGACATGGTGGCTATCTACGCCCAGGGTGTGGACGCAAGAGCTGATAGAAGTTTTTATTCAGTGTTGCACTGTTTAACTTGGCACATCTCAGATGCATTTACACATGTGAGATGTTAAATCCATTAAAATGGGTTATGTTCGTTACCCTTCTGGTTTCAGTGATGCTGGCACACCTGTGTTTTCTACACTTGTGCATAACTGGATGACACAGAAAGTGGTTGCCACATACAAACATACACAGAGACATATAGCATTTTTTTTGCCAATGTAAACAAGCAGATTCAATTCTTCCCTATTAATCCAAAGCAATTACATTCCCCCAGCCACCCACGCACATGCCTTTGAAGCACTTTAAGCCAGGCTTCAGAGGAACCCCCAGCTGCGTGTTGTAAGGCAGAAAGGTTTGTCACAGGTAGCAGTTAAGGGCAGTTAAAGTGGGTTCTCTCAGCAGGGCAGGCTGACTGTGAGAGTGGGATTACAGGGCAGTTGGCTCATAAAGTTTCTCCTGTGGCTGCAGCTCTGCCTCTCACGCTACTCCCCTCCACTTAAACAGCGTATGCATGTGTGTTTATGTTGTTCTACACAGATGCATGTGTACATGGGGTACGCGTGCATGCAACCAGGTGCTCAGAAACATCGAAACAGTGAGAATCAGAGGGAGCGTTAGTGTGTTGGCGAGATATAGCCTCCCCCTGGGCTAGGTGTGAACAGGCTAACAGTGTAAGGTTACTGAAAAGCCTGACTCATATTCCCCATGACAGACTGAGGAGAGACAGACATGTCTAATGATGGAGATCACAGACTGAAGCCCCATGCAGACACTTGTGTGCACACATTCACACACTGTGTTGAACACAGGGACTATCAATATTTCAGAGGTGAAATATGCGTGTAAAATGATTAAGCTCCTTGTAGCTCTGCCAAAAAGAATGTAACCAGTGGAACATGAGTCCATACCATATCAGAGAATTCCCCCCTCTCAGAACATGAAAAGGTATTGTATAGTGCTTCAAACTGGCCTACACAGTTCATGTGCTGGAGTCCCATTAAAAGTCTTAAGTGAGTGTAGTGACATTCTTGGTCTTTTCATTGTCCCATGTGAGGGAGGCAGCAGCGCAGTAAAGGTGGAGACTGTGAGAAGTGAGCAGGCAGGCAGGAGCCATAAAAAGGGGGTGGACGGACTACAGGCTTAGGGAGGGAAGCCCAGCAAACCTCAGGGTGGGTATTAAGCATTGGGGTCGTCTGTTCTGCAAGCAGGTCAAACGCTAACCTCCTAATCCTAATCCTCACAGACCTATTTGCATCTGTGTGTAGCATTGTGTTATTTGAGAGCAGAATTAAGCTGGATATCCTGGAGTGAGACATATATGCGCAGGAACACATGCAAATGCATGTTGTTGCATATAGAGAAAGGTGTCGGGTGGGGTAGTACGGGTGTCTGGGCCAAGAATAGGCGGATGGAGTGTGGTGCTATGTGTGGGTTGGGATGGGAGGGGGTCTGCGGGTCTTCTATGAGGCGGCGTTTGAGCTGGTGCCAGTGTGAAATCACAGGGGCTTCCGCCAACCGACAGCAGTAAGAACAGCGTAACAGCCTCAGCTGTTGGCACTTCAAATGAGCCATCAACAGCTTTTAACATTCCAAGGCCCTTCAGTGCAAGTGTTTGTATCTGAGTTATCTCTATGGGTTATTGTATTCATGTACTTCTTCTATGTTAGGTGCATATATACGTGTGTGTGTGTGTGTGTGTGTGTGTGTGTGTGTGTGTGTGTGTGTGTAGCACCCAGTGAACATGTCAGAGCAGGGCTTATCCCATGTCTTCTGCCAACATAAATCCAAGTCATTTCTTCAAATCTCAGCTGCAGGGGCCAATTTCCAACTGACAGCCCCCCTTCTTCAATTTTTTTTACTCAGGCTATTTGAGACTTCATGATTAGCTCATAGTGATGTGATTTATTTATGTTTTTAGAGAGATGAACAGAGGGAACTTTTCCCACCAAGCATTTTGGCTCTGGACAAGCAGAGTGGACATTTTCGACTTTAGAAGCCCAAGGAAGGGGATCTTGGGAGAGGCCTCTCACATTCTCCCTGGTAGACCGTGAGGAACACACCCACATTTCTCAGAGTAATTACTGATCGAAAATGAGCGGATAATAGGTTCTCTGCTTTGAGAAATACATTTTTGTCATTTGATTCGATATTTGAGTAAACAGGATGGTGGTTATGTTCTACAACAAAACGAGTGTCACAATGATCTTCATGAAGATGCCATAGTTCTTCTAAAAACCTCTTCATGACAGACATGGTCCTTTGACACAACACCATGCTACACCAACTGCCCAAGAAACTGTTGCAGATTATTGTATATTCTCAGATATTAACAGTGTACTACTGCATTTGATTAGATCTTTTGTACTTCCAGTTCTGATTGTGCTTTATCTTGATTTCCATTTGCTCTAGTATTGCTTCAACTCAGGGGGATATTAATTTTGTGGTTCATATATTTGTGTGTATGTGCAAAATGTAAACCGAGAAGGCTCATTTTACACGGATTTAGTTAACATGCCATTTCAAACCGCCCAAGCACATTACCAGATGTCCGATGTCTACTATTAGTATTGATACAGCCACATTGATCTCCCCTTGTGAGGCAGGGCTCGGGTACAGCTCAGCCGGGTGTTTGAGTCTTCCTAAAAGTCGGAGGAGTTAGAGGAACGTCGGCAGAGTGGTACCTAGAGTCCATTTTAGCCCATGGCAGAGCTGGTTCCTTCCTCCTCTCTCTGCACAGGTGCCAGGGCTTAGAGGGAGGGAACACCTGCCAGCCTCTTTCCCCATGGCCACGGCAGGCTAGAGAGGCATTTTCCCAGGCTCCCCAGATGAATGGTCACTAATAGCCGTGGGAGAGGGCTTTGCGAGTGCTGCACAGTGTACCACTGACTCCTCTTGGCAGCCCCATGAAGGGGGCTTAAGGCAGCCTGGCCATGGCCGTTGCGGGAAAAGCACAAGTGTTGCTGGATAGCTTTACCGTTGGAGAATGTGTTTTCGAATGACCATCTCCCTCCCTGTGAACAAAGCAGAGTACGTGCAGGGACCAAAAGGGAGATGGTTGATTTTTGCTCTGGCCTGTCATAGATTCAGCTGTATTTGGCTTCTTTGGCTCTTTGAAAGCCTGTGGGCTAAAGCATTTTATCAAATCTGGAAAAAAAACGCTCAGTGAGAATCAATTGACGCCAACTTTTCAGCCTCCTGCCGTGAACGTTCACGTTGCATTTCTGACAATGCAGAGGTCATTTTGTTGTGACAACCTGCATTAACCCATTTTGTTTCGTCTGAGTGCTACTGCAACTATTACTATTTATGTGAGTGGTAGTTATGTGGGATCTGGTCTGTAAATAGAGAGGCATGCCTGTGGCAGAGTTACCTGCCCCGCTCTGTGTTACTAGGCGTGAGGCAGGCTGGGATTAAGGCTCAGGGAAAATGGAGACCTGTGACAGGAACAAAGGAATTCCAAGGCCCAGGCTGGAAATGGATCCTGATCAGAGTCGCTGCTCCAGCCAGCCTGTCCCCCTGCCCGCTAGCCCACCCTCTCCTAGCCCCTGCTGGGCAACCCCCTTCCCCCTGGTGCTTTGTGGTGTTGCTGTGGCTCTTTAAATCCTTCCTGTAAGCCCCTGGCCTTACTCAGCAGCAATGCATAGGACAGTGTGACTCCACTGTTAACCCCCCTCCCCATTATTACATACATGTGTGCAAACTTTTGTTCTATTTCTTTTTTTCTTTTTTTTTTCATTTTACTTTAAGGCTTTTATGCACCCTCTCCTCTCCTGTGCCCTCCATGTCTGCCCTTCTCTGCTGTCCTTGTGTCGTCTTTTTCTCACTTTCTCTACTTCTCAGTCTCCGCAGGGTCAGCTGCAGTCTCTTAGGACACAACCGCAATCCCCGCCATAGCTGTCACACCACACTCTGTTCCCATATAATTAGGGCCTGAGCCTGAGCCTGAGCACGGATCACATTCATGTGACTGTTCCCCCTTTACCACAATCTGGTCTGGGAGACGGCACACACTCTCTTGAACTCATGCTAAGTGTTCAGCTTGACCAGAATGCCTTGTTTCAGGAATTACTGAAATGTTTTAGAAGATGTCGTTGTTTTCCAGTGCTCTTTCCTTCACTTCAGAAGAAACGACCCCTGTCACATGCTCTTGTGAGCTCTGTGGGTTTTGTTTTCTTGAGGGCAGGTGACAGTATACTACAGTCTGCCAAATTTGCCTGGTGTTGTCAGGGACAGTCTGAAAATACTTAAAACAACAATATAATTCAGAACCTCAGTCAAAATAGTCCTACTTCCTACATCTTTTCCTCATTGTTTTACTCTCCTCTTATCATGAGACACATGGTTGCAAAATCTAGATAGAATTACCCTGTGTGCCATGGTTCATCTATTTGGGTTTATAAACACAGGCCAGCAGATTTACAGAGGACCCAGCAGGCAGAGACAGCTTTCTTGCAATGAGACCTTGATCTAAGTTTTAAAGGGGCA